ATTGAGCTGCATTCCGACGTGCTAGTGGGGTATTGAACAATGACATTAGTGGTAGTGAGTGAGAGTGAAACAGCCTCTCGAGCGCGCTAAAACATCTAAGGTCCTGGCTAAACGAGGAAACATGACCCATAGCCTGCGTTTCTTCTGGTCTGCAGCGAAGAACGAGGGCTCTGGCATAATCCATTTTTTGAGACCAGGATTTCTTGGACTTCCGGTTCAAGAGCGCATGCGTTCAAAGACTTGCCAAAATTTAAAAATATTTTCCCGATTTCTAATTTTTTTACCTATGATCTTTACTTTGATTTTTCCTTCGATTTTTGCTTTGATTTAATTTATCTCTTTTTCGAAAATTGCGCATGCGCCAAAAAATGGATTATGCCAGAGCCCTCGTTCTTCGCTGCAGACAATAAGAAACGCGGGCTCTGGGTACGAGATTGTCCAGAAACATATTAACCGCGCGCATGTTTCCTCGGTGTTTCCCAGTTTAGCCACATGCGAAACATTGCTGCGTGCAACAAATTTTGCTTCCAAGACGTAAAAAAATGTTTTTGCTGCGCGGCAGAAACATTTCATGCTTCCAAGACGCATGGAAACATTGTTTCCCGATGTTTCCTGACAGTTTTGCCGCCTTAGGAAACATTCAGGGAAACATGTTTCCTCGTTTAGCCAGGGCCTAAAGTAGACAGGGCAGAAAAACGACAAGCTCACTACTTTCAAGATTTTTTTATTTAACTGAGTTTAATGCTCCAAATTTTTAAGCGCTTCATTTGTGTCAATGTTGCTTGAAACCTGTGACGAAATTTTGTCGAATTCAAAGAGTAAACCTACTTAGTATTCACGAAAATGTCAGTTTTTCTGCTGATCAAAATATCCCCTCTCCCAAAGTACTAAGAAGCTGAATAAAGTTGTGAAAAAATATAAGCGAGGGACAAGGTATAGGAGTTACTTACGCCCATGCTTTATTTAAATAATACTTTCTATTACAATTTGTATTYTATAATACTGATTACATTTTTGGGGGGTCCTCCCTCCTCCTTTACATTTGTTTTTGGAAAACTAGTGCAAATTGTCAAACTACGAACTCGTTCTATTGGTACGATTTTTGGTGTGGTTCTGCGCTTCGGGCGTGCCAAGAAATGGCGGATTTTTCAATTCTGTGCGTTGTCGTTCTATTTACTGGTTATATACATTGCAGTTGATAATTGCTAAGCTTCACTTGCTTCCCTTCGCATAAGTAATACGCTCTAATACCATTTCCATAAATCTGAAGCTGATTTTTGGTACATTTGCTGAAGGTCTTGTTTTTGTCTTGCCCGCAGTCGATCATTATACATCGATAGATATTCGATGCGCAGAAGGAGCAGTTTTTGCAGGTATTTTTGTTGATGTGCAGGCAATTCTTTTCGCAGTTCTTGGCTAGCTCATGGCAAAGAAGAGGACACTTAGGCTCACGGAGAGTCATCGAAAGGTCAGATAACGAAAGAATGAACACCAAGACGAATAAAGAATTGGAAATTGCAGCCATCGTTGCTGGAAAATAAATAAATAAATAAATAAATAAATAAAGAAACAAAAGAACACTATTAGAAATAACAACGAAGGCGACAACAATGATGATCGGATGGAGAAGACGATGTTACTTTGATTAGTTAAAAATCAACCACACCCTAAATCCATTGTTTGATGTAGGTTCTTAAATTCTTCGGAAAACCCAGATTCTTAAAGCCGGGGTCGGAATTGATATCAACAGGGGAGAACGGGGCTGAATTATAAACCCGGGATAGGTTTTTAATTACACGGATATATCGTAAGCACTCTATTTCCAAAAGAACAAAGCAACAGTAGTCTATCTCTCTAAATTCATTATAATTTAGTATTTCCTGTTTTGCATCGAAACAATGGAATTTAGGGCTTAGTTGATATTTTAAACCAGTTCAAACGCACGGGCTCGGTTTTGCATTAGAATTCAAGACCTCGGGCCTGCGGCTTTCGGTCTTGAATTCTAATGCAAAACCTCGCCCTTGCGTTTGAACTTTTATATAAACGAGTAAGACAAACGAAAACGAATTCCAAACCTACTTACTTCGTCGTGATATTTTTAAAGATAAAGGATGGAGGAGCGATACGTTCCTAGTCGAGCAAAAGCACCAAAACTGAACTGTTATTTCTAGATAACCGTTTTTCATTTATAGATTTTTCAGTTGTTTTGTGATTTTTTTTATTTTTTTTATTTTTTTAATTGGGCGTAACTAAAATCTATAGAAGCAACATGTGTTCGTATAGATAAATGAATAAGGTTTGACCAGAATTAAAGGATCTCCAGGAAGCCGATATCATTGTCGCCAAGGAAGATGAAAAATACGATGAAATGTGTATAAGTTAAGCGACGGGAAGCTGCATTGATAGCAGATGGTATGGAAAAGGAGAAGAGGAAAGAAGGGAGGATAAAGAAAACTGAACAGAATAAAACAAAGCAGAACGGAACAGAACCTTCCATCTATCCAAATGTACAAATAAACGTTGCTTAAAGCTTTTAATGCATGCATAATCATCGCTGAATATCATGTCTATAGTACTAAATAACTCATGTTTTGTGTACTATCAAAACTCCTTATGTTTCAAAACCATTCACTGAGATCCTAAAGGATTCTAGCATTTTCGTTCAGTAAAACATTGCGTGAATAATCCATCTTGGCCACAAACAGCATCGCAGTCTCTTCTCTTAGTTTCCCAGCACTTCTTGTAACACTGAAGGGACAGCTGGTAGCATTCATCAAGACATTTATTCCCCACACGAAGATAGCCAGCCCGAGTGAACGCTGGTAAGAAGGCAGTCAGAGTTACGCATAAAAAGAGAGTGAAGAACACACACTTCATGATGAGTCTGGAATAGAAGTACAACATGAGTGAATCAACTTTGAATACACTGTACGGTAATCATGCCTCTTTTTAACTTGGGCCTAATGTTT